ATTTTTCGTACCTGCTGAGGTATCTTGGCGGCTTTGTACCTCACAAGTATTCGCAATGGGGAGGAGCACTCACCAAGGGTCGGCACGTGCGACCCCCTCCTGAGCAGGGTCATCACTACCGTCACTAGGCCCTTCCTAAGTTAAAACTCATCCAACAGGATTTAGTCTTAATCCAGTTGTGAGTTGTTTCAATAAATAGAAATAGAAATACTCAATGGGCGTATTAGATATTTCACAGAAATTTCTAGTTATTGTTCTCGGAACGATCCGTAACATTCATCAACAGCTATTGCATTTAGGAATAACCAAACCATTCAATAAAGCCATCAGATTCCAAGAGTAATAGTTTCATTGATGAATCACGATGGACGCGAGCCATATTTTAACTAATATTATGCGATAAAAATTTACGGAAGCTTATGGAAAAGATTGTTGCGAAGTTAGGGAAGTATTCAGCATTCAGATAAGAAAAAGTATTGAGACTCGAAAGGTTCAGAGGGAAAAAGAGGAGAATAAAATGGAATTATATTATAATTCCGTTGCTGTGGATATTTGAATCTACTGCGCATCGCACGCATCACGGGACTCGGGCCCAGGCGCCATGGGGCGTGGCGTCTCGATCAGCTGATCCGTTGATGCCCAATTCACAGAAATAACTTGAAAAAATAATAATAAATTAACCGTGCATTTTCACCCCTAACTTCCTAACTCAATTTCATAGTAGATTTTCTCCGCTACAATATGGTATTTTTACTTTTAGGATTGATTAAACGGGATTGAAGGCAGAAAGGATTGAAGGGGGTAAACGTTCATTGTGCCGAATTTTTCGATGGTTTTTAATTAATTATAAATTTTCCGGTGCATGTTGAGCTTAAACAAATTCAAACATTAATCAGGGGACCTTGGGCTGTTGATTGATATAGCTTTCATCCGATTCATTTTAATTTGCCATACACCATGTATCAAACATTTAGAATGACTGGACTACTAGTCATCTTCTCCCGCAGTTTCGATCTAGAAACCTGCCTACATGCAGTCGAGCAAACCACCAGCAGGGTGGCTAACTTTTTAGAAAACAGAAATCTCGCAATTTCGCCTGAAAAATCACACCTCATAATATTCTCAAAAAAACACTTTATCCCCTCTGACCACTCCATCTCTATCAACGACTCCATCATTCAGGCCGAAGTATCCATAAGATTCTTAGGAATGACCCTAGACTATCGACTCTCCTTCTCACCTCACATCAACAACCTCATGCATATCCGGTTACTAACTGAGCGCCAGAGTGTCTAGACAACATTATTCTCCATCATCTCTTCTCCCTCCCTTTGTCCATCGTATTTCACTTTTATTTTTCCTCCAAGGTTTATTTTTCTTTTTACCGCAACCAGTTTGATTACACTCTCCCCCCCGCGGGTGTCTGAAAATTATCTCCCTCATCAAATCACTCAGGAAAACACACTATGGCGCCGACCCTAAGAACCTCATTATCTTCTACAGAGGCCTTTTAAGGAGTTCCATTGAATATGGGAGTCATATACTAAATTACTCCAACTACTCTCACTTTGAACAAATAATTAATCTCCAACATAGTGCCCTAAGACTCGCCCTTGGACTTCGAATCTCCACCCCCAAAAATGTAATTCTCGCAGAAGCAACCGAACCCCCCCTCAACTTCCGTATTTCTCAACTCTCAGATAGATATATCATGAAATCCCTATCTCTCTCCAATCACCCGTTACTTGACAAATTAGCCACTCTCCAAACAATAATAAACAGGAAGACATCCAATCTTCACAATATTAAATCGGGATTCCCAATCGTAAACTCCTTTGACAGACTCCTACACCATAAAACTAAAATACATCGACACCCTCTCCCCTCCCCTTATCAATTCCCATTCAGCCTCATCAATTCCTCCCCTTCCATCAACACATCTTTGGTAGCGATTATCAAGAAAAGTAAGAGTAAAGATTCAACCCTTCAAGTGGAATTAACTAAGCTAGATCAAGAGTCCTACACCCAAATATACACCGATGGATCCAAAACCCACGAAGGAGCCTATGTCGGTTATGCAGTCTCCATCCCCTTTCTCCAAATCTCAATTCAACATAAAATCTCTTCCTATGTCTCCATTTTTACTGCCGAGGCTCTAGCTATACTAACCGCAGTTCAAACAATCCAAGCAATGGACCTTAAAAAATCTGTAATTCTCACCGACTCTCTGAGTGTTCTAAAAGCAATGAAAAACTTCTCCCCATTAGAAACTTCCTCTCATATAATTTATCTAATCATAGAACTTAATGAATTGCTCACATTGAATAACTGAGAAACTTCATTTGTGTGGATTTCCGTACACGTTGGCATCCAAGGAAATGAAGTTGTAGACTCTCTAGCAAAGGAAGCCATCTCGGATGGTGACCTTCAACCCACCCCCATTCCGTTCACCGATTTTAAAGCCTCCATCACAGCTCAAATGAAATCCAAAACAGTTAAATTACTCAGAAAACCAGCAAAATTTAAAGATAAAAAATATTTCCAAGAATTTTATAAAGGCTGGAATCCTCCGTGGTTCCAAAATTTCAACATCGACAGACCCCAAATAACTACCATCAACAGGATGAGGTCAAATCATTACAATCTTGCTGAAAGTCTACAGAGAAAAAACATCGTCGCCTCCAATCTCTGCGAATGTGGCAAAGTCGAATCCCTATCCCACGTCCTTTGGGCTTGCCCCAATTACCTCCAAGAACGTTCCTCCCTACTCAAATCCCTGAAGAAATTAGACATCAACTCCTACAACATCAACAAATCAATCGCATCACCCACTCCCAAAATAGCCAGGAAATCCACAACTTCCTCAAAAAAATCAACAAACCCATTTAAACATCATCATCGCACCGCCAAACTCGGTGGATCAAGAGATTAACTACATCACCCCACACAAAACTACAAAACTACGAAATGCCCCGCTAGAGGGATAACGGCCGCAAGACTTGATATAGTCAGTGCCATAAAAATAGAAGAAGAAGAAGAGTGTAGGTAGGCGCTCGAAACTCGCTACTTGCCAGTTGGCTATAGTCAACTGAAACCCATGCGGTTACACGCACGTATATAAAATAATTTTCTGTCACTTTCCTGACGAAAGACTTGGTCAGTTTTTTTTTACCAAATCGGTCAGTAATTGACGATCGGTCAGTTACATGTAATTTACCGGTAAGTTACACGTAATCTGACTGGTAATTTTTTCTGTTACATCTCTAGACGGGTTTGGTATGCCATCCCAACCTACACCTAATTGGATGACTCTTTTTAAAGTTACATATTTACGGAACTATGATGAATAATGTACGAATAATGTATCACATGAACAACATAGGAAAGGGGAATACTTTATAAATTTTATAAATTTACAATTTAAGTTTATAAACCAAGTTTTCTAAATTTATAAGTTTTATAAATTTACATTCATTAGAATTTACCAAATTTCAGAGGTATTGAACGGGCAATACGTGTATTTGCCTTTTATTTTCCTGTTGCTATTATTTCTGTTCTATCTTTTTTTTATCTGCACTTATGTTCAATAAGCGGACGCTTTGAGACGAGAAGGAAATTGCATTCGTCACAGCATAGTCGATATATTTTAATTCATTGAATTCAACATTGACACAATGTTGATAGCCAATATTGCTCAAACGTTGGCAACCAACATTTCCCCAACGCTGGTAACCAATATTACCTCAACATTGGTAGCCAATATGGTACGTTGGGGCAATATTGGCTAACAACAACATTATCCCAGCATTAGTAGCCAAGATGGTACTAACGTTTGTAGCCAACATTGTCCCAACGTTTAAATTTGTTGCCTTTTCCCTGAATATTAGTTCAAAATAGATTTTTTCAACAACAAATGATGCAATCAATCTGATTATCGAACTGAGTCAAGGTGGTATTGGGAAGAACATTTTAAGAATAATAGGGCGCCGAGGAAATGTAGGAGGTGAGGCGGAGGGGTTTCTATTGTTTTCCTGCAGAAAACCAATCGCTGAACAAAAAAATTTTTCCTATTCGGATTCAAATTTCAGGCAATATTAGGGAGTATCTCCGGTTAAAAATTATTTTTGGAGCTAATCAAATTTATTTGTATCTGTTCCACACATTGAATGGTTTTCAGATTTTTTTTTTTAATAAATGAAAAAATATTAATCCACGCGAAAAAGTGGCAACATCGTCGGTAGTTTTTTTTTTCACCAGGAGCTAGTACCACTGGCTCGAGGGAGCTCCAATCACAACGCTTCATCGCTCTCTCTTAAGAGACGTTTAAATTGACCGCTCTACCCCCACCCGATCGGTACTTGGGACGTTGCTGTTCGTTTGGGCTGCATGCGTAGAAATTTCATTTTTCAGTACTTTTTTCGCTATTATTAATAAACAATGCTCCTAGGCGACAATCTTTTTCACTCAAAAAATCATTGATTACATGGTCTAAATGTGTTTAAAGTTTCATGACTTTGGCTACATTTTTTCCTTGGGTTTTGCAGTTTTTTTTTCATTTCCATAAGATCACGTTAAATGACCACTTTCTCAAAAATTCATAATAAATTAACCATATGCCCCAGCAGTCTGAAACTTTGCACACGCTTTTTCCATCATTTAAAGAATACGTTAAAAAATAAAAAAAATGGCTGCTTTTTTTCTAACCCTCCGGGCTCGCCCGATTATCCTTAAGTCACAATTGGATTCATTCATTTATTTGAATTCATTTTTTTTCAATTATCGTCGAAAACCGCTCGGTCAAATACACACGTACATAAATACATACATCCGGTCATGGTCTGAAAATAGCATATTCGAACTCGTGAGGCCAAAATTAGTTATCCTGATACAAAGGATGGGAAATTTCGCTTTTTACGAATACAATGCTTCCATTCGGAAGCAAAAATGATACCATGTACCAGCGCACAAAATGAGCAAATAAAATAATGAAAGGTTCTTACCCCTGGCACGGATCATCGCACTCGCACGTGGAGCACCCCCTCTCATCGACCTTGAACCCATACTGGCAGACCTGGGCGCACTGTTGCAGTGGACAAGACGCATCAAGAGCCCTAGCTCTCGGTTTAGCTTCTTCGCAGGTGACATTCTCTGCAGGTCCCATTGTCCCAGAGATCTTCCTCCCATCGGTATCAACACACCAGCAGACTAGACCATTCCTGGAGCACTGGAGGGGATTGTAGCCCCCGTTGTCGGTGCATTGGGGTATATACCCCCGTCCCTCTTTCTCAGAAATGCTCAAGAGTTCAGCAGACATTCGATTCTTCCGGCACGAGCTCAATCCAGTTGCAAAAGCACAAACTCTCCCCCCGCAATGATCACTGGAGCAACACTTCTGTGGCCCTGGACAATCTAAATCGTGTTCGCAAGAGGCTCCACAGTCCGCTGGCTCCTCGATAGTTGGACAAGTCCCTGGACGCTGCAGGCGAAGGCTCGAGGGACAGCAAACTCCATATTCAGCATTTGGCTGAACCAAACAACGGTAGAGAGGCGGACAATTTGGTTTTCCTGGGGTATCTCCGCAGAGGAAGGGACGCGGTGAGTCGGTTATTTGGAGGGGCTCACCCGCGGGACAAATTGTGGCCAGGAATTTTGCTTTTCGACAACTGGGAATTGGGGGACACGGAGGGCGTGCACAGGGTGCGTCTACAAGCTCACAGGTCTGACCAGAGCCCGGACATGTCACTTGCTTGCAGGGATCTCGGCATTCGCATTTTAGACAGCCACTTATTGCGTCAATCTGGGAAAATAGTCATCGGATTAATGATTTGGGTGAGGAGGGAGATAGCTTAGGGGCTATTGATTTTAGTCAGGCGACACTTTTGGAGGGCTTACGATTGTTCCCGGTAAAATCTCTCAGTGGTGAGATGCATGAATTGTATAGAGGGATTAATATTTCATAAGCGTTTAATTGCAATTGTTGACTATGCATTCATTTCGGTGATAATGCGTGACATTTTGTCGTGGCGTTATTTTTTTATGACATAATTGAATAATAGATGCATGATTAATAGATATTAATATTCCTCTATAAATCTGAGATGAAAGTTTTGATAACTAAGAGGAAGTCACGATTTCTTATAGGTGGCCCCTCATGTCACTCTTTTTCAGTTCTTGAGTGGTCAAATATATTGATTTTGGTTTGAAGGCATTTGAGCTCCTTTGAGATGTGCAAGTTATTAATTATAGATGCTCAAATAGATATAGGGGATTATACACTTATTCTTAATCTATAATTATTAATCTATCAGTTATTAAGGTATTCATATTGTTGCGTATCCTCCTTCGATTTGTAATTCGTTGTAGTACATCCGCGAAAGATGCTTCTCATCAAATTTGTCAGTTCATTGATACTGAATTCTTTCGACGATGAATAGATAAATTTAATTTATTGAATATATGAATAATCAAGAAAATGTTATGGAAGGAAGAGAAAAGTTGAAGGAATTCACATTTGATGCGGCCAGGGTCTGACGGCTGTCAGGGCCAATCGAACGCAAGTTTGACAACAAGGAATAATAAATAACGTTAAATGTTGGGCGCTAGGTAGTTTTATCGACAAACTAACAAATGATAAACGAAGAGGAAATAATCGACGAAACGACAGATGAAATACAATGATAGGTTCGAATGGGAAGACCCAAATAAATCAAAAGAATCGAGAATTGAAAATAACCAGAATAGTATATTACGATATAAGTGAAAAAAAGTAGTTGTTGATTACTGTGATTACAAATCCTCACGCTCGTCAGCAAGTATATTTTTTCATATGTATTGTATGATATTTTGTGATACTGGTGAGAAAAAGGGGGTTCTGGGCGCGCGAAGCGTACAAAAAAGTGCCCTTTTTTTACTTTTATTATAAAAAATTATAATCAGAAACTTGCATGAATTTTTTTCAATTTTCTAATCTCAAGTTTGAGATCTGAATAATTCATTTTTCAGTCACAAACGTTTGAAATATTGCTCATTAATTACTAATCAATTGTTAAAAGTTGACGATTTCACACGCATTAAAATCGCCGATGACGTCACACAGATGGTCCAGCGCGGGACCAATTACAGAATGGCTCGAGCCGACCTAACCCAATCTTGAGGTGCGCCTCGGCCAATGGAGGACAACAACACCCAGTCTCCTCTTTTCCGACCAATGAAGCGTTCCCTGACTGTCTTCGTGACGTCATAACCGAAAAGTTGGTCTCAAAAACGACTGATTTTCAATTAATTATCATAAGACATCTAGGCAATATTTCTCCATAATTTTCACCGTTTAGCTATGCATATGTTACGAGAAATGTGTGAATAAGGGAAGTGGAAAGAATTGAGCTTCAACTACAACTACACTATCAAATACCATCAAACGATTCCATCCAATTTAGAAGAGACCCTATAACATGGGGTGCTTACTGATGAAACAAAAACAAAATGGAGTTTGTAAGGAAAAATCCCTTTGACATTTCTCCGTAAAATCAGTTATTTCCATAACATTCTACAAGAGGGGATGAATAAAAAGCTAGAAAGCCAATAATTTCAATTTCTCAGTCAATTGAAATATAGAAAGGAGAAAATTGAGTTCCATTGAGAGCTTTACGTACCTCGAATCCCAGAGGACACAACATACGACAAGAATGCGCCTGACAGCTTCTTGGATTTTCACAGTCAACGAAATCCCTGGCGGGTGCTCTTGTGCCAGAGACTTCGCTGCCAAACTCATCGACACACCAGCAATTTTTCTCATTCGCCTCACACTGGATCCTTTCGAATTCGCCAGTGATATTGTTGCACTGCGGAACGAATTGTCCAGCTCCGTGATCCACAATTGTTTGGGAACGTCGGCCAGCAGCGATGGCCAATTGCTCGCAGCCCGTGAGTTCCCCCAGGACACATCTGAGACCGCAAACTGTCTCGCAGCATCTCTCGGATGGACTGGAGCACTCAAAGTCACTGGAGCATGGAGGCGCACGGGCTGGACACGAACTGAGCTCGGTCAGGACTGGACATCTTCCTGGGGCCCTCAATATTGACTCTGAAATCATTTTTAAAATTCGTGAATATTTTATGTATGAGCGTCTCGACTCAGCAACAAAAAACTAGTGGGTAATTGCGTTTTTCTTTATCGTAGGATAGCTATTTTTGATAATAAAATAGCGATATGCTTCCGAATGGACATTTTGCACATTATTCTCTCATAATATGTTGGTTCGCATTATTATGTTGAACGGAATTATATTTCTTCTTTAATTTTACGCCCTACCAGGCTTAAGGAGTTTCGTGTGAAAAGTCAAAATAATGAAAAAAAATTGGAAAATTCATGGGAGAAATGTCTGAGTATGCTGCATCATTGAGAACTTTTGCACATTTTTTTCAGATCTCAGTCTCAAGAAAAAAAATGATGAAATTTGGATGTTTTTGCAACTCCTTCACCTCCGAGGTTATCCCACTCTCAATTACGGAAATTTTCATGACACCCAAAAAAATGATGAACAATTGAAGAAAAATTAGTGGGTGATAAATCAAATCTTTCCTGAGAACACGTATAAGCTCCAGATTTTTTTCAGATTTCGTTTCAACAGGATGAGATTCTCTTGTCCCGAGAAAAATTTTAAGTGTTACTATAAGTCTTCCCATAAATTCATATAGTTTGCGCTATATCTAGAATTTTTTTTTTATCAAGCATTTTTAAACCTTAGAGGTTTAATTTGCATACAATTAATAAAATACAAAATTTTGACACTTAGAACTTAGGTTACATTGGTTTCAAATTTTTATCGAACAATTATCCAAGAATTCACTAATGATGACAATAGATTTTTTGTCTAGTCTAGCCAAAAACTCTCCAGCGCAGTAAGGTGGAAAAAAATTGATTCCGCATAATTTTTTAACCATTATTTCTCTAGCATTATTGTACAATGGACATTCCCACAAGACATGTTCAATATTCTCCTCTTCGTATCCACATTTGCATATTGGGAAGTTAATGATCCCCACTTGCGCCAGTGATTCTGCTAGGCTGTGATGATTGGCCCTGACTCTATTGACCCACGATATAATTTTTCGAGATAACTTTTTCCCTTTGAACGACGGTTTTCTTCTTCTAGTATAATAATATTTGAAGTTGATTCCTTTGGTTTGACCAAGATCAAGAGCCAGGTTCCAAGTTTTGTCAAAAGATTCCGACTTGAACACCTCGCGGAAATCAGTGAAGGGAAGTTGTATAGCTTCATCGCGGTCGCGTGGTGGTTTCTCTCGCTAGCCGATCAGCTGCTTCGTTACCCGCCACCCCCATATGTGAAGGAACCCAGACCAATTTTAACGTATTATTGTTGTGCTGTACAATTTGTTCATACTTTGTCTTAACATTTAGTATAAATTTATTTGATTTGATACTTGTCGGCTGAGAAAGAGATTGGAAAGCACTTAGAGAGTCGCTAATTAAAATAAAATTTTTGTCTGAGTGCATATGCGCAAAGTTCATAGCCTCACTAATTGCAAGACATTCCGCTGTATATATAGAAGCTCTGGGGTTAATAGACAAAGATTTTTCCACATTTAACTGAGGGCAAAAAAAAAGCTGAACCAACAGAGATACCACCAGTCATCTTGCTGCCATCGGTGTAAATTTCTATTGATTCTGGCGAATAGTTATCTATAATACGGTTTGGATTGTTATGATGAGCGACATGAGTTCTAATAGTATCTCCGAGTCCAGCATCCATTGGTAATGAGTTAAGGGCGGTGTGATAATCACCATTGTAAATACTGAATCGGTAGCTAGTGTCTAGATTTTTTAACAAATATTCTATTTCTTTAAAACATGTTTTTAGGATGAAGAGTCGAGATGTGGAAGGATTAATTTGAGCAATTGATTCCCCGATGGTGGTAGAAACCTGGAGATCGGTATTTGAAAGCACTTTCGTTAGATAAGTTTTACAGAGAAATGAAGCCCGAATCTTAATTGTGGGGAGTTTGCTTTCGGCCAGTAAGATGTTCACGGGCGTTGATATTCTATATCCCATACAAAATCTAATGGCAGCGTATTGTATTCATTCTAATCTAGAGTTATTAGTTTTTCGCCCAGGATAGTAAATAAACAAACTATACTTTATTATCGGGCGTACGAAAGATTTATAAAGCATGATGAGAGTCTCAGGATCAGCCCCCCACCAAGTACCCCGTATGAATTTTATAATGTTTAAAGCCTTGAGGGCTAAGCCTAGAACTTTAAGTAAGTGGTATTTAAATGACAGTTTGGTATCAAAAATTAAACCAAGAAATCGGGCAGATTGATTGCAATGGATTTTGTGACCATCAATATTAATAGCGGTACTAGTGATAGGTTGTCTTTTTTTATTAAAGTGAACCAGTAATGTTTTCCGTGGGGCTAGGGCAAGACCAATAGATTCTAAATTATTTTTTAGCGTCTCGATCGCACTCTCCATAATATCAATGCCTTTAGTGAGTGATAAAAAACTAGTATATACACTAATGTCATCAGCGAATTGGGAGACTACAACTTCCGAAGGAATATTATTAGTGATGTTATTAACATAAATTATATATAATAAAGGTGAAAGTACTCCTCCTTGGGATACACCTTTGTAAACTTTTCTGGGCTGGCCATTGAATAAGGAGGTAATATTTCTCTCGTATAAGATAGATTTGACAAATCTCACAAGATTAGTAGGACATCCAATGTCCGCTAGTTTGTCCAATAATAAATTTACGTCAACATTGTCAAAGGCTGATTTGACATCAAGAAATACTGCTATCGACTCTCGATTTCTCAATAGATTTTGATCCGAGTATAATGAGAGATTTATCAGGTTGTCATAACACGATCGACCTTTTCGAAAACCACTCTGAGACTCGGGCAAAAAATTGTTGTGTTCGACCCACCATTGAAGGCGATTTTTAACAATAGTTTCAAAAAAATTTCCTACGCACGGTGATAGAGCAATGGGACGTACACCAGCACCATCCCCCTTAGGAATGAAATGAATAAATTGTTCATTCCAGTCCAATGGATAGTCAGCGGTACTGTACATCTCATTAAAAATGTCCAGGAGAATTAATTTGAGTTTAATAAGAATCTTCTTTAGGATGATGAATTATTTTTACGTGTATTTAACGCGATATTAAACTCAATAAAGTCGAAGGGGGCACTCAATATATCATTGTCCTGGCAGGGAGGGCAATAGTTAAGATCTTTCGGGGCCCAGGGGGGGCTGACTGAATTAAGAGTAGTCTCAATTTTGCTGTCGAATTGTAAGTTTTCAGATACGTTAATTGAGTTTACATTTACCCATTTGTTTTTCAATACTTTACATGTACGTCAGACAGGAGAGATTATTGTTGATATCAATTGTTTCAGAAAAAGTCCTAAATTTCATTCTTTTCTTCTGTTTGAAGAGTTTTCTTGCAGCTGCTACTTGTCTTTTATAAGAATAATAATCCCATGGATTTTTTGTGAAGAGCCATTTTTTGTATGCAGATTTACATAATCTTATGGCTCTATCGCATTTCTCATCCCACCAAAACACTGGATTTCTGTGGACTTGGTTAGGCACTTGCTTTTTAACAGGGGTATGCTTTTTAACCAAAGCGGTTAGATTATCGATGAAGAATTTGTACTTTTCTAAAGGAGCAAGAATATCATAATCAAGTTTTAGAAATTTTTCGTAAGAACTTTCGAGATCCTTAGAAAGCTCAGTCCATTTAGTTCTGATAGACGTGAGCTTGAATGAGTGCTTACGATAAATATATTTTTCAATCGAAATCTGAGTAAAAACTGGAAAGTGATCAGATCCCCAACTATCGTCACCAGCGGTCACTTTAATTTTTTCGGAAAATGTACTACTTGATAGAATAAGATCTATATTGGATTGACTGCACTCATCTCTGCGCGTAATTGTCTGGATTTTGAATTACTATATTATTTTTTATAATACTCTCAAGAAGTCGATCACCATCAACAGTGTATTTATCACAATTCCACGCAGGATGTAATGCATTGAAATCGCCCATTAGCAAGCAACACTCGCTAGTATTGGTGAGATTAACTATCTGATCCCATACATTTTGACTCAAGGTATTGCCTGGAGGCCTGTATAATGCAAATAGATTGAATTTGGGGGTGGTATTAGTTATTTGAAAGCCTGCAACTTCTACTAAAGGGCTTGAAATATTAATATTATCAATTTGTTTGTACGCAATGCTCGTTCTAATAGCTACCAAGAGTCCTCCTGCGGGTCCATATTCTCTGTCGAGCCGTATTATTCTGTGACCAGGTAGATTGATTGGAAAGGTGTACGTTGAGTCGAGCCATGTCTCTGAACACACGGTGATGTCCAGGTTTTTGGCGGCTGCTTGTAGTTCAGGTAGTCGAAGTCGAAGGCTGCGGCAATTCCAGTAAACAATTCTCCATTGACCACTACGCCATTGAGTGGGTTGTGTCTGATTTTGACAATTAGATGTATTCATGTTTAAGACGAGTGATAGCTGCTGGCTGATGAGTTGCAGTAAGCACTAGGATTTTCTATGCGTTTAATCAATGCTGTCAATCGTCCTTTTATGACCTTGCTATCTAAGAATATATATGTATGATTTAAGCTTCTTATTAAGGCCTTTGTGTCAATGGTGTACGTCTTAAGGTAAGCTTCCAGATCTTCGTGTTTTCGAGCTTCCCTAAAGAATTTAACAAATCCCTCGTAATCAAATGGATACAAATGTGGAGAAACTGTCATCTGGGCCTTTAAACGAGGAGATTGTTGACGAATATAATCCTCAGTCAGTTCATTCCTCCTCCTCTTTGTTTTGGGTGTAATAAAAGTGTCATCGCCCGATAGGTTGTTGTGCTTTGAGTCTGGTTTGCCTGGATGAGCGTTCCCGAGTCGAGGTCGCTTGACTACAGGATTAACCGATGTGCTTGGCTTATTGGAGCTCTCTGGTGTTGATGTAGTATCCTCTTGATTCGTTGGTAATATTTTTCCGCCGAGCAGTTGTCTCTCGTCGTAGGGATCCTCGATT